TTTGAGACCTATAGATAACCTGTAATGTCCATAATAAGACAGTATCCAGAAGACGTGATTATTTATTAAATTTAATATGAATTTCACCATAAAGATCAAATATATATTTTTTCTTTTAAGTTGGATGCAATCTAAAATCTAATAATACCTGCGTCGCGGGCTAATGTGCCTGACGCATCATATTATGATTTAAGACAAACTGATCCATAGGAGAATGAAGGTAGTGGAACTACACCTTGTCGTCTCCTCGTTGTCGTCGAATTGGTTATTACGTAATGATGTGTTTTTAATTTGGACAATCGTATATGAAAACAGCACATCGTGGCATTCACAGCCTTCGTGGTAATATGGAAACCATCTTAGGCTTTTATATCTTTTTATCATCTTACTGCTTACAAATGAATGGAATATCCATTTTTGCAAACTTCTGGTGTTATCACGGATATTGAAGTGGTATGACTGTCATGGGTGTGATGTGTTACTCTGGTGTTACCATGGATATTAAAGTGGTGTGACTGTCATGAGTGATGAGTGTGATGTGTTACTCTGGTGTTACCATGGATATTGAAGTGGTGTGACTGTCATGAGTGTGATGTGTTACCCTGGTGCTACCATGGATATTGAAGTGGTGTGACTGTCATGAGTATGATGTGTTACCCTGGTGCTACCATGGATATTGAAGTGGTGTGACCGTCATGAGTGTGATGTGTTATACGGTCGTTATCACGGATATTGTAGTGGTGTGACCGTCATGAGTGATGAGTATGATGTGTTACCCTGGTGTTACCGTGGATATTGAAGTGGTGTGACTGTCATGAGTGATGAGTGTGATGTGTTTCCCTGGTGTTATCATGGATATTGAAGTGATGTAACTGTCATGAGTGATGAGTATGATGTGATACCCTGGTGTTATCATGGCTATTGTAGTGGCATGTTCGTCATGAGTGTGATGTATTTCACGGGTTATCACGGATATTGAAGTGGTGTGACTGTCATGAGTGATGAGTATGATGTGATACCCTGGTGTTACCATGGATATTGAAGTGGTGTGACTGTCATGAGTGATGAGTGTGATGTGTTACCCTGGTGTTATCATGGATATTGATGTGGTGTGACTGTCATGAGTGTGATGTGTTACCCTGGTGTTATCATGGATATTGAATTGGTGTGACTGTCATGAGTGATATGTGTTACCCTGGTGTTATGACGGATATTTAAGTGGTATGACTGTCATGGGTGTGATGTGATACCCTGGTGTTACCATGGATATTGAAGTGGTGTGACTGTCATGAGTGATGAGTGTGATGTGTTACCCTGGTGTTATCATGGATATTGATGTGGTGTGACTGTCATGAGTGTGATGTGTTACCCTGGTGTTATCATGGATATTGAATTGGTGTGACTGTCATGAGTGATATGTGTTACCCTGGTGTTATGACGGATATTTAAGTGGTATGACTGTCATGAGTGATGAGAGTGATGTGTTACCCTGGTGTTACCGTGGATATTGTAGTGGTATGACTGTCATGAGTGATGAGTGTGATGTGTTACCCTGGTGTTATTATGGATAATGAAGTGATGTAACTGTCATGAGTGTGATGTGTTACCATGGATATTTAAGTGGTGTGACTGTCATGAGTGTGATGTGTTACCATGGATATTGAAGTGGTGTGACTGTCATGAGTGATGAGTGTGATGTGTTACCCTGGATATTGAAGTGGTGTGACTGTCATGAGTTTGATGTGTTATCATGGATATTGAATTGGTGTGACTGTCATGAGTGATGAGTGTGATGTGTTACCCTGGTGTTATCAGGGATATTTAAGTGGTATGTTCGTCATGAGTGTGATGTGTTACCATGGATATTGAAGTGGTGTGACTGTCATGAGTGATGAGAGTGATGTTTTACCCTGGTGTTACCATGGATATTGAAGCGGTGTGACTGTCATGAGTGATGAGTGTGATGTGTTACCCTGGATATTGAAGTGGTGTGACTGTCATGAGTGATGAGTGTGATGTGTTACCCTGGTGTTATCACGGATATTGTAGTGGCATGTTCGTCATGAGTGTGATGTGGTACCATGGATATTGAAGTGGTATGACTATTAGGAATGACTGTGTGGTGTGTTACCCTGGTGTTCTTACAGATGTTCGGGATAAAAAAAATTGTCTTATAAACATACTAGGGTCTGGAATTAAGTGATTTTCAAACGTTGAATTTTATATGTATATTGCTTTTGTTGGCTTCATTGGAACTGCTCAGGGTGCATGCTCAAATACTCTGTATGTTAATGTAATAAGTAATCATCCCTGTGATTTCTCTTATATAATAAGCATTTTACGGTAAATTTGTATCTAATTTTTCATGTTTTCTTATGAATCATGTTTGTTGCTTCTGAATCTTAATGATAAATATAATGATAAATATAATAATAGATATCATATGATAATATCTTAATGAATAATAATTCTAAGAGATAATGTTGTATAATTTACTTCAATAAAGTTTCTTGTAAGTGTTATTTTCCCTAATTATGAAATGATGTGTTATCGGAGGAGTGAACACCTGGTGTTATCACTGACTTTGAGTTGGTATTATTGCATTAAATGTGATGTAGCGTGTGTCACCTGGTTGTAACACCTGGTGTTATCACGGACATTGACGTCGAATAATACGTTAATGAATGTGATTTATGTTACCAGAGGATCAAACCATTGGTGTCTCACTGTTATTGTAGCTGTTGACTGTCGACGGTGTATAAGGATCCTAATATTTCCATTTGAAAAGATGGATAAGGTACTCACTTTTATAAAAGTGGTTATTAAATCCCTTCAACTCATATTACCTTACTATGTATAACGTATTCACTAAGTACAATATATAAGCTGTATGTTACATTTTGTGTCATATAAATTCGTTTTAGTGGCATATTGTACTTGGAATTAAGCTTATAACAAACGCAATTGTGAAGTGATATTGACCTTTAACTTTTCAAGAACGCCAAGTCTGAGTTTTCGGAAATAACGTCTGCACAACCACATTCATTACTAGGCAACCGCCTGTATTATCTCCTTGGTTGCTATACATAACAATCGGATATATTTCGGATAATTATCCTGCCTATGAGTATTTCATAATAGGTCAAGTGTTTAGAGGAAAGGATATATATCCGACGGGTCACAGTTTCTGATGATGTCAAATGTACTCACAATGAATGAAACTCGTAACCGACATTTTATTTACACTGTAGATAATTAATCCCCTAACCATATCACGACTTAAAAAATACGATATCTCAAGCATGCCCTATCAAAGGCACATGCATGTCGAGTATTGGGCCAGCTTCACAACAACCCCTTATTACGCTCTCAGATTAGGAGGAATGTAGCAACGTCGAGTTTGATGTAAACGTATTACGATTTCATTTAATTTGAAACAGATACTATCTGTTCAGTTCCAAAGAGGTCGCTTAAAGCGTTCAATTATCATTAACATTGATACTTAAATGTTCTCGTTTCTCTAATATATGTGTAACGCTGTTATGTATCAGGAACTGTAGCTCTTCAGCTGACTGAACAAGATACTTTAATAGCTAGTACTTCAGAGCTCGTGTGTATAAAAGGGGGGAGAACAAAGGGAATTAAAAACATTTATTGAAAGTAAGTGCCGAAGTAATTCTCAAATAAAGTTCAGTTCAATAAATTCAGTAATCGGTTTGGCAATGACAACGAAGTCAGACACGGAGTTCAATAGAGCAAATATATTACTCAAAAGAAGTTAAAGAACACCTGATTCTTCATATTACTACAGTTAATATGTCATGATATGACAGATTAACTATAGTAATATGAATGAATCGCGCGTTCTCCATGATAGATTAACTAGTTGCATGAAAGAATCGGGTGTCTCCTAGACAGGTTAACATTAGTAATATGAAATAATCGGATCTTCTTGACAGGATAACCATAGAAATATGAAAGAATCGGATGTTGTTTAACTTCTTTTGAGTAGTATGCTAAAGGCATCCAGTAGGTGTATAGAGACATCACACCGCGTGGTTCATCATCACTTCCTGGAATGAGTGAGTGAGTTAAAATTAAAGGCATTATTTCAGCCATATAGCGACCCGACTTCCAAGCGATGTCGTAAATAGTTAATCTCCTTCTCGGGGGGTCAATGATCAGCATTAGTCAGTTAGTCAATCAATGTCTTGGTCATATATTTACTCATTTAGTTTAGTCCTTTAGTTATTTAGTTATATCTCAGAAAATCAATCAGTTAGTCGTTAGTTATGTATTTCTTGTTAGTTAGTTAGTTATGTTGTTAGTGTTTCAGTACAGTAAAGTAAATAGTTACTAAGGGGGTTGGAGATTTTACATGGTGTTCTACATGCTCTTCATAAAACATGAACATTTTTGGACGTCCACTGTATGCTGTCGTCCAACGGGGTACTTTATGTGTCACGCGTGAGGTCACGTGGCACGTGTGAGGGTGAATAATACCCGGCGCGTGTCACGTTCATTAATGCTACAAAAATGTGAAGATTACAAGAATCAGATCGGCAGCTTGTCTTAATCACGTCAGTTTTGCAACGTTAATTTTCTGCAACAGCATCTGTTAACGCTTGTCCCATGTGTCCGATCCGGCATTTCAGAGAAATCCACACATCGACCTGGCGTATTACAGGTGTAATCACGGCTGACGAAGATAAAATCAAATTTTAATCAATTATTTCAAAGACTTCCTTTACTATTTTCCAGCTCATTTCACGTAGTGTCCGAATGTGATGGAGAACTGTATATTTCCGACGAGGGACCGTCCCCCTTCAATTGAATATCTTCCTGAATCACCGAGTCGCTCCTTGCCTGGTGTGATAGGCTGAGAAACTGACAGGCCCCCGCCCATCGCTTTCACAGAATGTGTCAAGTGAACGCCCAGACGGCCAATGAGAATTGTTCGTTCCAGTAAGTTGGTAATTATAAAAGTGTTGGGCATGAGCTCTCTTGCACTGCAGTCACGCGGGTAAACATTGTGTCTGCTACACGAGACAAGCTGTCACGGAGAGTATGGAGCCAAGTCCATCTCACATGGAACCAAGCCTCAGCCCTGACGTAACGGCACCCACCTGTCTGAATGGAGACTCCGAGGATTCTATCCTCACCCCCGGGGACCCGACAGCAGGGGGTGGGGACGTCAACAGCACAGTGGCGGCAACTGACAACACCAGCAACAACAGATCTACAGATGTAAAATCGCCATCTTCAACATCCAACTCGGAATTACTGGCTGGCAAAAATTTGACTTTTTCTCCTGAGCAGGTTGCGTGTGTTTGCGAGGCATTACAACAGAAAGGAGACATAGAAAGACTAGCTAGATTCCTGTGGTCTCTACCTCCAAGTGAATTGTTACGAGGGAGCGAAGCCGTGCTAAAAGCAAGAGCAACTGTCGCCTTTCATAGGGGTAGCTACAGAGAACTCTATGCTATTTTGGAGAGTCACAGTTTTGAAAGCTCTAATCATGCGTTTTTACAGCAGTTGTGGTATAAAGCGCATTACATGGAGGCTCAGAAGATTCGAGGAAGGCCTCTCGGGGCTGTCGATAAGTACAGGCTTAGGAGGAAGTTCCCTCTTCCTAAAACAATCTGGGATGGCGAAGAGACAGTTTATTGCTTCAAGGAGAAATCTCGACAAGCTCTGAAAGAGTGTTACAAACAGAACAGGTACCCTACACCAGATGAGAAGCGGAATCTGGCCAAAAAAACAGGACTGACGTTGACGCAAGTGAGCAACTGGTTCAAGAATCGCCGACAGCGAGACAGAACCCCTCATAGCCAGGGACATGGAGGACAGTGAGTAGAGAATACCTACACCTTACCTTTTGATTTGCATTTTAATGACACTGAAACGCTGTTTGTTTTCAATCTCCCTTGTCGCAATGTGAGTGTAACAGCACGTAGACCCCGGTATCAGCGGGACTGAGATTCCGAGCTTTAGCATATGCTGTCGGTCCGGTACTAGGGTCGGCACCGTTGTTTGGATAGTGTCACCGATATATTTACTAACGATGAGCACGGGGACATGAGCAGAACATTGTCAGGCTGTTGATTTTGCCCTTTCATATCCGAGGACAATGCAGAGGAGACGCTCGGTATTCAGCATCACGTTAACATGGGCTCGCGTAGATCGCCACAGCGCATAGGCACGTTTTCGCTATGACATCAATTATATTGAATTTTTACAATTCAAACAAATCCTAAGCTTTCCAAAATATCGTTCATTTGATACAATCACGTAGCACTGGTTAGCAAAAAGAAATTCGTACCCCGTCTGAAATCCGGTAGGTTGTTTTCAAGTGCGAGGTTTATTTTAGGGATTACTCGCTTCACAATAGCAAGCCGCCCAAGACGAGATTGAGGGAGCGATAACGCGAGATGTCGGAAGGGTCCCTCCTCCTCCTCCCCCTCCCTTTTTTCCCCGCATCGTCAGACACCTCATCTTAGAAGAGGAGGGAAGTTTCCCCCAGACCTCTGACTGACACAAAAACTTCTTTATAAATCACACGTTTTACCGACACAGTTTTACTCTTGTTCGGAGATTGAGGGATCTATCATAAATGTTGCTTGACACAATGTTGCTTAAATTACTAAAATATGTGTTTTTGAAGTTTAATGTTTCATGATAAATTGTTTTTGTAGCCCATACACGACGTTACACGCCCAAAGCCGTACTGTTAAAATTTCTTTGGAATAATATTTTCCATCAGAGATATACACTCTTCTGAATCCAATAAGATTAGAACATATTTGGCAGAACTTCAACTTTAGACAAATGGTTTATATCTTCTACTTCAAACCTATATTTAAACTTTAAAAGTACAGGAGTCAAAAACCTTTTTTTCTCAAATGTGTTAATTACAAACTATCTATATATCTATATTGATATTTATAATATCCATTTTCTGTAAATGGTAAAGTTATGTTAGATATTACCACTACACCTTAATAACCTTTAAATTATACAGACATAAAAAACGAGCGAATTTCTATAACAATATCAATATATGCTTATTATTGAATAGAAGTTTTTACTTATGGTAATATACAACATGACAGGTAGGTAGTGGGTAAAGTTGGTTGGATCATGGAATCTGACACAATTAATACATTACTTCGCTCACCTTTTCGCGAACACCTGGTGTCATTACTATTTCATAGTGATTCATAAACACATGCTCATGATAGAGTCGAAATCGTACAAACTGAGATTTCGCTTTTATTTACCATTTTTGCAGCGATTCCATACAATGAAATAATGCTTGTCTTCAAATCCAAGTTAGACATCACGTTACCGTTATTCAAACAACTCTAAACAAACCATTTAGTGAATTCTAATAGTTGATTCATAAATAAATCAAAATATAGGTTAATCAAAAAGAAATAGAAGAAAAGAGGAAAAGACGTTTATTGAATGTCATAATATTATTACATGCTTTCGGTGTCATGAATCATCAATGGGAACGGTTCCGGATGCATATTGAAGGCTTTAGTTTTTCCTTGTCAGATGTAAGAGAATCGTTGAGAGTCGATTCTTCTCGTCTGAGTTGATCTAGCCAAGCCAACTTGTCATCAACAATCCCTGCCTAGTGTATTAAATATTAACAAGATGTTCAACAGGCACATTGAGCCACGGGTCTGCTTCTTATCCCCGCTCACAAAAATCTTCCCTGACCCAAATACTACTTAAAAATCAATCAAAACATTAGCCAGTGTCTAACAATGGACATAAGCAATGCCGCATTATAGGAGTTTGTTCATGAATCCCTTCCTAAAAAAGACTCATTAAAACCTGTAAAATAAATATAATTGTTAAATATGTAGTTAATTTAGACATGATCTGTGAACAATAAGAGATCCTTTCAGAGATATATCATGTATTTATTATGAATTATCTATGTTTACTACACGTGTATATTATTTAGTTTACTCACTGGTGACGTCTTCTCGTGAAAGGCTACTACTTATTTGGATGATTCTTATCTGTTTTACCTTCTGTTTTATTGACTTTAAATAGGAGACGACAATGGAGTTTTTCGTCATTTGGTTACCTCGTAATGACGGTCTTAATAGTTGTCATTTCCCATACTGACTTCAGGAGCGTGTGGTTCTCATTAACTCTTTCTTTAAGCTGTGTAAACTGATACCTTACATCTGCTTATCGATATCTTCAGACGATATGTTGTATATTTGACAGAATTTGTGTTCTTTATCTCTATAGTAAAATGAAAACTGTAATATTAATATATCGTTAACCTAAATTCAAGAAGGAAGAAAAGAGTTAATGTCCAAATAATAACACGCTGAATTGGACTGACAGTAATTACCCGACGTGAAATATTAAGAAATATCTAAGCTTGATGTAGGAAAAATGCAACTTCCTAACACATATGGTGATATTTAGTAGGCAAATGTTTCATTGATGGAGACACAGCCTCATCCATACCGTGATTTCTCGGCTGTAATCAGGTATCTTCCTCCACAGTATCATTAAACACAAGAACAATGCTTTCTCACGAAGAACATATTTAACATGTTGGCAACATGTTCATAAATACAGGTTACCTGTTGTCTTACAGCGGTGATTGTGTCTTCACGGCTGTTGTGCTCTACTGGTCACATAATCACATAACGTCAACCTCTGTTTGTGTGAGAATACAATAGAATATATTTAAACATCAGTGAGCATGCGTACATAAAAATGATGCTTTTAAATGTTGACATTATATGAAAATGACGAGTTTAAGTGTTACAATGAAGGAATATAGGTCGGACTTTGTTACTTGTAGTGAGTTACTTGAATTTCGCTGTGTGAATACATAACTTAGTCAATGACTTCATTTCCCCATTCAAACATTGAACATCTCTCCCTACGTGTGACACATAGACTATACCCGGGTAGGTTTATGGCTACCCTGAATACAACGCTAAACACGATGGTGGCAAATGGTTTCCATCACAAAGCTGCGACGATGCGGGCTGGGCAGGGTACAATGGCGTCTTGACGAAAACACATATATCATAAATACATGAGCTATATCAGATCCGGCTCATTACCTTTCGGTTCACCACAACGTTCAGTAGTGTTCGGTAGTGTTCAGCTGATTGTGTGTTGGACTAGAGGCGGGAGCGGGACGGCAGGGAGACTTGTCAGGGTCTGTGATTGATGAACAACCTGTAGCGTTGATGGCCAAGTCGCTCAGCCATGCCCAGGATCAACCAGCCAGTGCCACAGCGGAGTCAGAATAATGTGCCCAGTCCTGGGGAAAATACCCCTTAATCCCAGGGACAAGACTTCATCATCGCTTAGTCCCCATTCATAGTGTTCACAGAGCCTAACTATCGGGATAACCATCACTGCAAGCAATTTCCTCGCCTGTCCGTATCGTCACCGAGGGAAAACTGGTGGCTGGACCATTCTCTTTATCACCCGGCTTTGTATAGCAAAGCTCCACCCGAGTGGAAGTGTGTGCATGCCGTTCAATTATGATCTCGCTATAAACAATATATACACATTATTTTCAACCAGCACTTGTGTTTAACCGGCTTTTATGGAGACGATTTATGTTTACGCTTAGTGGCCCAGAAAAGTGGATTTGCAATGAAAGAGCATATAGACTAGTTTTATCGCTGTACGTCGACAGCATGTAACGACTTTGGAAAAAAATATTTTGTAATCATCGTACGATATTTCTTCTTATATTCGTGATAAGGTCATTTTCGTAAACGTGGAGAGATGTTGTCAAATGATGAACATGTCTACTTATTCATAGAAATGCAAAATAAAACTTTCATTCCACTGTCCGTATGAATTTAATGTTCTACAAAGGTCACATGTCTAGCAATATTTATGTTAGCGTATGTTACGATTGTTATCCAAATTCACATTGCGACTGACTATATTAATATTTCCTCAAACAGTGTAGATCACATAGTGAGAAATGAATAGTGTGTAAAAAAACTCAAACAGTCTTGGAGAAGCAGAATTAATATACACTGGTTTCTTTAACGCCTACAGGCAAAAAACAAAACATTTAAAAAAAACTATCAGTAAACCAAAGCATTTGGAAGAAGCCATGTCTGAGATGAAAAGGGCAATTAAGTTTCTTATGCATGACGCTGATGCAGTTGATTCTGCAAATGACAAATGAACCAGCATTGTGTCTTTGAAAGAGTATTGCTGCAACACAAAAAGAAACAATTATTTCTCTTTACCGGAATGAAACATATCGCGGATTTAATTAAAGTATGACTGGCGATAGTATCACCATGGCAACTATCACAACACTGCGCGGGTAGTGGATTCGGAGAGGCGATGCTACTCACAAGGGGACAAGAAGAGAGAGAGAGAGAGAGAAGAGAGACGGAGAGGAGAGAGAGAGAGAATGTGAGAAAACATATAAGTTTTTATAAATATCATGCACGTGACTCTGTACTGCCCAAGGGCACCGTCCGCTCAATGTTATATTGGTTTGGTACCGGTCAGTTCCGCTAATCCAACTGCTGGACCCACAGGAAGTTTAATTAAACGATCGACTCGCATTTTGTGGCATGATCATTGAGAATGTTCTATTTCTTCCAAGTAGAGTACTTGTACAACGTCACGCCTGGCGCCAGGGGAGTTCGCGGTGATAACTTTTTGACATGCGCCATTTGAAGGTGTTGTCTAGCTATTGTTCTCCGCCAAAACAGTCTGGGGTTTGTCAATTTACGTCACAATAACACAAACAGATACGCGTTAATACTCTTCTCGTTATCCCGATGGTGAAATGGCAAACAGATCGCTCCCTTGCATC